AAATTAAAGGGTGATTATTTGCCTTACAGACAGGGTCAACTCCAGGATTTCTTTTAAGTTACTTCTTCATCCACTTTATATGCTTATTTGTAGACCCTTTCATTATCATTTGACTAGGGCTAGGGCAAAAGAACATCCAGCAAAACCTTTCCAATTTAAGAGATTTAGCAATGAAGGAAAAGTATTTCTGAAACCTTACTATGTCAGTGAGAAATTTTATGGAATAGCTTACACAGTATAATTTAGGGAACACATCTACTAGATAAAACTAGATGTAAATATATGGATAAAATCATATTACAGATACAGTCCAGATGGGGGTAGTCACAGGTGCAAGAGCACCCGACCAATAAGCCCTGTGTGGACTCATGTACTATCCTTGTATTCTTTGAGAAGGACATGCTGCAAGTACCACGGGATATGTAGTAATTACTGTACAGTGGTTAGTACCCATCTGGGTGGTCAGGAATCTAGTACCTACCTTACCAGTTACTATACCCTTGATACATTATTTAATAGCTATAGATCTTTGCTCTTCTATGAAATAAGAATTTTGGAAGAGATTAGATCTCTCTAAGCTGTAAAAGTTTATGAATATCTAAATTACTTAATGTGCTTGGTGGCTGTTTGTTTTGTTTTTAATATGTTTTTATTGATTTTTTTTAGAGAGAGAGGAAGGGAGAGAGATAGAAACACCAATGTGAAAGAGTAACATCGATTGGCTGCCTCCTGACGCCCCCCAACAACCCAGGCATGTGCCCTGAACAGGAATCGAACTGGGCCTTCTCAGTCCATGGGACGTCGCTCAATCCACTGAGCCACACTGACTGGGCTGTTTTTTAATTTAAAATGAGCTGGTAAACTTTTTCAAACTAAATTTTTAAAAATCCAGTATAGAATTTTTGCATCACCTAACTCCTTATTCTTCCTAGGCACAGTTGGTGTCCTAGCCTTAGGAGAGCCCTTTGGTTTTAGATCACATTTGAAGTTTGGGCTCTCAGCCCCAAGCCCTTGGCTTCTAGCTGTAATAAATTTGTTCTACCAATGATGCAGCTAGTAACACAAAGGAAAGCAGACAATGATTTCAGTTATAAAAACAAGAACAACTGGCCTTTGGCAGTAGTTCAGTTGGTAAGAGCATTGTCCTGATATGCCAAGGTTTGATCTTCGGTCAGGACACATTAAAGAATCAACCAATGAATGCATCAGTAAGTGGAACAACAAATCGATGTTTCTCTCTCCCTCTCTCCCCTCTTCCTCTGTCTCTCTCAAATTAATTTAAAGAAAACAACAACTGAAATATAGCAATTCTTTTATTTAACACTGTTTACAAGCTTTATATAATAAAGTTCACTTTGTTTTTTTGGTAGTAGTATTAAGGATATCAAAAATTTGAGAAGAGCAATTTATTTCTATTGTTTAATAAAAATAAATGAATCTAAAAATTTTAATGCAAAAATTATTCTCAAGAGATAAGCTAAGTCTCACAGGAATTTAGATCCCTCACCCTGGACTCCCTCCCTCCACCCCTTTTGGCGTTATTAAGCCTTCTTGGTGCTTTTCTGCATAAGGTGTAGCAAGAACAGAGTTGCTGGTACTGTGTGAATGATTGCTTTTAAAAGTCAGTTAAGCCCTGGCCAGTTTGGCTCAGCGGTTAGAGTGTCGGCCTGCGGTCCGGAGAGACCCGGGTTCGGTTCCCGCTAAGGGCACGTACTTCGGTTGCAGTTTGTCCCCGGCCCTGGTTGGTCGTGTGGGTGGCAGCCACTCGTGTCCCTTCACATCGATGTTTCTCTCTCTCTCTCCCTCCCACTCTATCTGTACAAAAAATGGAAAAATATCCTCGGGTGAGGATAAAAAAAAAAAAAAAGTCAGTTAAAATTATTTTTACTCAGAACATGGACATTTGCATAATGGCATTGATACTGTAGTTCTAGGTAAGCCTCAAAGCTGTAATATCAGCATTAATTTTAGACACAGTACTTGTTCACCTTTCAGTTCTATGAGGGGAAGATTGAAAGAGAGAGACACGGAGGCAGTGGCATTCCTACCCAGGCCTGTCTGACCCAGAGCTCTGTTCTCTCCTCCACAGTACGATGCCTTCTTTCACTTTACTGAGTACATGTTGAATGAAGTCACTAATTTAGAAAAAGGCAAAATTCTCCTGCATGATATATCCTTGAGATTATAGAATACCTGTGCTATTGCTGACTCTCAGTACTTTGTACAGTGCCTGGTACACCAAAATATTCAATAAATATTTGTTGAATTAATAAGTATACATTAAAGTGCTATCAATGCTCTTACTTGTTTTAGTGTTTTGTTTGTGTTAACACAGAATGATTGCATTTTCATTAATTTAATTGATTGCAACTGTAGCTACAGATGTGCCTGTCACCTTGGTCTTCTATATAGTTGTATTAATTTGGTTACTGACCATAAAACTACTTTTCATTTACTTTAGAAGGGTCCTTGGAACCTTTAAACTCTTCATGTCATTATTTCAAGAACAGGATATTTAAAACCTGAAAGTTTAACTGCTGGCTTTTGTATTGTTGGACTCCTATTGGGAAGGAAACTAAGGTTATCTAATAAAATTTAATTCCTGACACTTACATAAATATGATTTTTGAAGACCACATGACAGTGAATTTCAGGGTGTGAATTTGTCTCGGTTTAATAACAACTCCCTTATTACCAGGCATTTCAAATTATAAATAACACATTAATGCAAATCTTTGTGCATTAATTGCTTTTTGTATTTAGGTATATACTGAACATGATTCCTCACAGTTTTGGCACAGATATCTGAGTCACAAAAGGTTGAAATATTGTACCTACTTGAAATACTTGCTCTAGATAATAGAAAAGGCACAGTGGTTGCAATTTTGAAAAGGTAGTCCTCATTAAGTGCTCTTTATTTCACCAGTGTGTTTCAGTGGTACTATTTCATGGGTATCTCTAGCTGTATAACTATCTGTAGGCAGGAAAAAGGAGGCAGGATGAAGCTTTAGGTAGTAGGGAAAAGAGGAGTATGTGATTCACATGTGATCTGTGATGAACAGATAAAAAACAAGTGAAGTAATTAAACTTAGATACTATTTTAATTATTACAAGGATTGAAGGGTTTGGGAACTGAAGAGTGAATACTTTATTTTTCTGAACAGCTTGTTAAATGTTCTTTTTATGTTCAAATTGTGTAGGAACTTGTTTTTCAGTAGGAAACAGATTCTGAAGTTTTATGTATACAGGTTAAAAAATTAAGGCGGAAATTGGGTAGGACTTCTAGTGCTTTTAATATTTTCCTCTCCTTTCATTTTTATCCAAAGTCAATGCCCTACATTAAAAATACTTCCAGTGTCTACCATACGTTGTTAAGTGAAAAAAAAAAAAAGCTATTTGAAGAAAGTAATACAGTATACCATTTATGTTTAAAAAACAGATACACCACAAAAACAAAACTATGTGCCTGGCACATAGTAGGTACTCAATATCTGTTGACGCTGTACGTGTCCATAGAAACTGGTCTGAAGATATAACAATCCAGAGTGTTTGGAGAGGTTACCTCTGGGAAGAGGTATGCAACCTAAGGTGTGTCTATAGTCTATATACTTTTATGTTTGAATTTTTTTTGCAATCAACATGCATTACTTTCATATACTTTTTCTTTTATTTTTTTATTGATTTTTTTGGAGAGAAATAGAAACATTGATGAGAGAGAATAGCATCAACATCAATTAGCGGCCCATATTGGGGATCCAGCCTGCAGCCCAGGCATGTGCTCTGACTGGGAATCGAACCAGTGACCTCTTGGTGCATAGATCAATGCTTAACCACAGAGCTGTGCCAGCCAAGCTTGTATACTTTTTTTTAAACAATAAAAATAAAATTAAGGAAAGGTTACAATCTGGATAGACATCACTTCCTAAATAGGCCCACTGCTTCTTATACCCTAAAGTGCATGTCGCACAATAAAAGACAGCTATTCTGACTCTACAGAATTATTGCTTCTCCAGTAGTTAAAAAAAAAACAGTGATCAACCTATTTGCTTGACGCCATTTCCATGTAATTTAGTCAGCTTTTCGAAATAGAATTTATCTAAGGAAATTTTCAGACATACAAAAATTGAATTATACCTGCCTCCCAGCATCAACACATGACCCGTCTTATATTGTCTATAGCCTCATACCCAACCCTCTGTTTTATTTTCAAGCATATTTTAGATATATAATTTCATCTATAAATATATCAAAATGTGTATCTTAACAATATGGACTCTTTTTTTTAAAAAAATATGTTTTTATTGATTTTTAAAATATTTTTAGAAAGTGAGGAAGGGAGAGAGAAACATTGATGTGAGAAAGAGACATCAATCAGCTGCCTCCTTGCATGCCCCCTACTGGGAATTTAGCCCACAACCCAGCCATGTGCCCTGACCAGGAATCAAACTTGAACCTCTCAAGTCCATGGGACGTTGCTCAATCCACTGAGACACACTGGCTGGGCAGGACTCTTTTTTAACAAAACCAAAATGTCCTTATCACATTTTAAAATGAGCAGTAATTCCTTTGTATCCATCAACTAAGAAGATTTTAATATTTTGCAATTTAGTTACTAATTTCCTATTTAAGTTGCTATCTTGCTTTCATTGTTTATATCCTTTAAGTACTTTTAAACTCGTGCCTTTTTTTCTGTTCAAATTTATTATACATTTTTTTTTGTAGAGTTGTAATGAAACCAAAATGATGGTTTTTGCTTGACTTTGCTTGTATTTCCTAAAATCAAAATGAGAAGCTTGAATAGTTGGGTATTTTCATCTTCAAATTTAAAATACCATTCAAGTATATATTATTGAATTTTCCTACATTAGAATGGAAGACTTGATTCATACCTTGATTGTAATAGCAAAGTCATATAGGTCACAAATCATGATCAGAATTATTCTTTTGTTCAGGTGCTTTTCTGATATCTTGTCTGACTGTAATATTTTTGTTTTACATAGGTCTCTAATTAATAGAAGATGGCAAAGCCCAGCCACAGCAGCTACGTCCTTCAGCAGCTAAACAACCAAAGAGAATGGGGTTTTCTCTGTGACTGTTGTATTGCAATTGATGACATTTACTTTCAAGCACACAAGGCTGTTCTAGCTGCTTGTAGCTCCTATTTTAGAATGTTTTTCATGAACCATCAGCATAGTACTGCACAACTGAATCTCAGCAACATGAAAATTAGTGCTGAGTGTTTTGATCTCATTTTGCAATTTATGTATTTAGGAAAAATTATGACAGCTCCCTCCAGTTTTGAGCAGTTTAAAGTGGCAATGAATTACCTACAGCTGTACAATGTTCCTGATTGCTTAGAAGACATACAGGATGCAGATTGTTCTAGTTCAAAATGTTCATCTTCTGCTTCTAGCAAACAGAACAGCAAAATGATATTTGGGGTAAGAATGTATGAAGATACTGTGGCTAGAAATGGCAATGAAGCCAATAGGTGGTGTGCAGAGCCAAGTTCAACAGTAAATACACCACATAACAGAGAGCCCGATGAAGAGTCTTTACAATTAGGTAATTTTCCTGAACCACTATTTGATGTATGTAAAAAAAGTTCTGTGTCCAAATTATCTACTCCAAAAGAACGTGTATCACGACGTTTTGGACGAAGTTTTACCTGTGATAGTTGTGGATTTGGCTTTAGCTGTGAAAAATTATTAGATGAACATGTGTTAACTTGTACTAATAGACATTCATACCAAAACACGAGATCCTATCACAGAATAGTAGATGTTAGAGATGGGAAAGACAGTAATATCAAAGCTGAATTTGGTGAAAAGGATTCTCCTAAGACATTTTCTGCACAGACGGACAAATTCAGAGGAGATACAAGCCAGGCTGCTGATGATTCTACTTCAACCACTGGAAGCAGAAAGAGTAGCACAGTGGAGTCTGAACTAGCCAGTGAAGAAAAAAGCAGAGCTGCTGAGAGGAAAAGAATCATCATCAAGATGGAGCCAGAAGATATTCCTACAGATGACCTGAAAGATTTTAACATTATTAAAGTTACTGATAAAGATTGTAATGAATCCACTGACAACGATGAATTAGAAGATGAACCCGAAGAGCCATTTTATAGATACTATGTTGAAGAAGATGTCAGTATTAAAAAAAGTGGTAGGAAAACTCTAAAACCTCGGATGTCGATAAATGCTGATGAAAGAGGTGGTTTAGAAAATACGAGGCCACCTAACAACAGCAGTCCAGTACAAGAGGATACTGAAAATGCATCTTGTGAGCTGTGTGGACTCACAATAACTGAGGAGGATCTGTCATCTCATTACTTAGCCAAACACATTGAAAATATCTGTGCATGTGGTAAATGTGGACAAATACTTGTGAAGGGTAGACAACTTCAGGAACATGCTCAAAGATGTGGAGAACCCCAAGATCTGACAATGAATGGGTTAGGAAATACTGAGGAGAAAATGGACATGGAAGAGAATCCTGATGAGCAGTCTGAAATAAGAGATATGTTTGTTGAAATGTTGGATGATTTTAGGGACAATCATTTCCCAATAAACAGTATCCAAAAAAAGCAGTTATTTAAACATTCTGCCTGTCCTTTTCGATGCCCTAATTGTGGCCAGCGTTTTGAAACTGAAAATCTAGTGGTTGAACATATGTCTAGCTGCCTAGACCAAGATATGTTTAAGAATGCCATCATGGAAGAAAATGAAAGAGATCACAGACGAAAACATTTTTGTAATCTATGTGGAAAAGGATTTTATCAACGGTGTCACCTAAGAGAACACTATACTGTTCATACTAAGGAAAAACAGTTTGTGTGTCAGACATGTGGAAAGCAGTTTTTAAGAGAACGTCAGTTGAGACTGCACAATGATATGCACAAAGGCATGGCCAGGTATGTCTGTTCCATTTGTGATCAAGGAAACTTCAGAAAACATGACCATGTACGGCATATGATTTCTCATTTATCTGCTGGTGAGACTATATGCCAGGTCTGCTTTCAGATATTCCCAAATAATGAACAGTTGGAACAGCATATGGATGTTCATCTGTATACATGTGGAATATGTGGAGCAAAATTTAATTTGAGGAAAGATATGAGATCACATTATAATGCCAAGCATTTGAAAAGAACATAAGTCATTTTATATTGTTTTAATGTTTAGTTGATAGCAGACAAAACACCAAAGCAAAGGATATGAGCTATTTAGAAATTGATTTTCTAAGATGAATTGTTGGAAAAAAAATTTCAAGGCCCTTTTACCTTAAATATTTTTGTTTAGGATCTTAAGTATCTACATTTTAGGTGTTATTAAATGTTTATCATTTTTGTTTTTTCTTAATAGAATTATTTGTTTTTAGTTTTAGCTATGATTAAAATTACTTTTAAATGTAGACTACAAGTGGTTGTTACCCCTTTAATGACTATTAAACTTTAGTTTTTTATCAATAAGGTGATGACTTCACTATTTCTATGTGTTTTTTGTTTTTTGTTTTTTGTAAAGGTTATCCTGTGAAATTTAAAACCCAACATCATTGGCCATTCCTGTTTTAATTTTAAAAAACTTTTTAAATTAGTTATTTGAAGCTATCTCATTCACTTTTAGCTTTTTTCTTTTCTTTTTCTTTTTGGTAAGTTGAACAGTGATTTAGCCACTGTTTATTCCCCCTTCTTATCAATGAAATTCATATTTTTATTAGGCAGCTTAGGTGCACTGAATCTAACCTTGAAGGTTGACATGGGCTCAGACTTGGCCTAAAAAGATTGATGGACCTAAGGAAATTCCTATAAATGACTATTTTCCTATAATTGATAAAATATTATCATTTAATAATCACATTTAAAACTTATATTAAGTGTAAAACCCAATGACTTTACCCCATTTGAGAAATTCATGGGGACAAGTCATTTTGTTTTGTGATATTAAATTTAACTATGATAGTTAATTAAAAAGACATATCTTGTATTCATTTAAAATAATTTAAAATATTCTGATTTCTAAAGTGTTAGTTTATCAATTATTTTTGTTTATATATAAATAGATTTTAATAGTTCTCTAGGAATATGACATCTAAAGGAAAATGATTTTTTTCACCTTTAAAATTACATACTTTTGGAACTTTGAGATTTGAGAAAGCTGCCATGTATATTGATAAAGCTAATAAAGAAATCAATTACACATCTGGTTGTTCTATAAAAATAGAGTGTGCAAAAAAATGTCTTGTGTTTTATACTATTTAAGATTTGGAGAAAATGTGCTGTGGCAGATTGCAGTTTATCACCATGCTTTATTATTTTATTTTCTGTAAAGGACTACAAAATTTGAGGGCTATAAAATAATCATAGAGCATATAAATGGAAATAGTTTATCATTTTTTAGTTAAAGTAGTATTACTGTTAGTTGTTGTTGATGCAGGGTCTACATGAATTACATGTGAATTAAAACACTGGCTAACTGACCTGCCAATAAACACAACTCTCGAATAGAATGCCTTTTAATGTGAATTACTTTCATTGTAATACCATTCTCATGATGAAAGGGATTTAAAATAACTCCTATATTTAAAAGTATAATTATGTGATTATTAACAGCATTGTTCTTTTTTTACATCAGATTTTTAAGATATGCAAGTCATATTTTTGTATACAACTTGCATAAAAGAACAAGTTGCCAAGAGAATTGAGAGATCTATTGACTAGCACAGATTTAGTTGACAGAGAAGTATTAGAGCACAGCATGAACTCAGAGATTTGTGAGGAGACATTGACGTGTTAAGAATAAGAATAGTACAGGAGCCGTGCAATATTAAAATAATGGAAAGAAGAGATGGGGGAAATACACAAAAAGACAAATAAGAAATCAAGGAATTTTTTTTAAAAACCACATAGAAAAACTAATTCATTTTAGTCTTGAATACAGTAGTTTAGCAAGTAATTAAATCTGAAGTGCAACTTGAAATGTGCTATATACATTACTGATGGGGACCTGATAGAAGTTCTGTAACAAACCCAGAGACAATCAGAGAATAGTGTAGAGAGATAAGATAATCTCAAACCAAATTTCTAAACTATATTAGTATTGTAGTGAACAATTTTCTTTAGGACCACTGTTTTACATGACCCTCATCAAAATCTGTTGCAATGGCTTTCCCACCATTAAAAAACCACTACTACGCCCTGGCCAATTTGGCTCAGTGGTTGAGCGTCGGCCTGCAGACCAGAGAGTCCTGGGTTCAGTCCCTGCTAGGGGCACGTACCACAAAAAATAAAAACAAAAAACTCACTACTACTACCAACCCATGTCTATTCCATTAGGAAAGTGGTTATAACTTAGTGTTTTGACATGTACTAATAGCCAACAATCAGGAAGCAAATACATAAACGTTAAGCATAATTTCTAATTTTACATGACTGAGATATTTATAGTTTCACAAAGCCACACTTCAAGGATGTGTTCTCCCTGTTTCATGTTACAGAGGACACACCTTTTGTTCTGGAACTAGCTACAGGGGAGCATGGGTTTCTTTAAGTATAATGTGTAGTTTTCCTTGTTAAGGCAGAGTTCATTCAAACACCACTTGCCTTTTAAAACTAGGGGGAATGAAAAATATCCAACACCTCTGTCCCACCCAGTTTCCTCTCATTTTTTCCCTCTCCTGGGGTAGGGTTACAGCTCTGTAGATAACCATTGCTTCTTGTCCTCCAATGCTGTGAAGACAATGAATCAAAGTTATGGAAGCTGTGTACTCCTCCTGCCTTTATAACTTGAATGGTCAGGCTCCAAATCTAAAAATGAAAGGAAAATCTGGATAGGTAAATGTGCAATCTCTTTTCTCTTTCTGTCTCATACACGGTCTTGCTTAAAAGGACTTTTGTTCTCTAGCAAGAAATTCTGGAGGAATGGAGTCAGTGCCTAAAAAGCTTGCCATCAATTACAGTGCAACTCAGATGTTTATAATTTTTTAGTAAACAGGACTGAATCTCGGATTAATAAAGCATAACCAAGCGGCAATGGACAAGGACTCAATCTCCCATCTATTCAGAGAAATGCCTTATCACATAAGTAAAATAGTACATGGCTAATGTTTAATGTATGAAGTTTTAGTACAGACAAATATTAGAAGAAGAAATATTCCAGGGGCTAGTTATAAAAATAAGAGAATTGAAATAAGGAGTTGTTAGAGCACTCAGCTCCAATTAAAAGGAAAAGTAAACTGACTCACCTAAAAAAATCCTATTTAAGTAATGTAGATGAGAATGAAAATATGAACAAGATATAAAAGTTAAAAAAACATTTGAAATTTTCTAAGTGAGATGAGTAAAAATTGAAGTAATTTGGTAGGTTAAAGTAATTTGATTGTGCCCTGGCCAGTGTGGCTCAGTTGATTGGGTGTCATCCTATGCACGGAAAGGTTGCCAGCTGGATCCCAGGTCAGGGCACATGCCTGGGTTTCTGGCTCAGTCCCTCATCTGGGGCCTACAGGAGGCAACTGATCAATGTTTCACTCTTACATTGATGTTTCTCTCTCCCCCTCTCCCTTCTCTCTCTAAAAATAAATTAAAAATCTTAAAATAATTTGAATATATGAAAATAACTCAACTAGAGCTTTAGAGTGCCTAATGAAGCAATTATTATGAATATGCCAAATTTATGCCTAAATACTTGAGATGATATACCAACTTTTATATTCTAAAAAAGTAGGAAGAGAAGGTGGTGGTGGTGGTTGGCAACTTTCTCCCTGGTTAAAACAATACTTGTTTCTCTAAATCACTTGTTAAGGAACTTCCATATTTAATAAATCTCTGGAAAATCCCCCAAAGAACCAGTGTAATGGTTAAGTTAAACAAAAGCTTGTTATTATTAAAAGCTAAAGCAGTACCAGTCAATATATATATATATATATATATATATATATATATATATAATATATATATCCTGAATGTTTATGTGCACACATAGTTGAGAATAAAGGAAAATTTTTTTCTTAATTATAAATGGGTTTTGTGAGTCAAAATTCTTTTTGGCCATTAATCTACTTTGATAAGTTCCTCATCTTTCCTCACCATCCCCACTTCCTCTGTAACAAATGCTTCTCAGTGATAAATGTTACTGCTCAGCAGGCACCCTAGCATTACTAGGATTCCAAGGTGCTGTAAAGCTCTGTGGGAACACATCCTTGTGGAATGTCTCCCATCTCCTTAATACCTGAGGTGCAGTAAACTGGGGGTTTACTGCACAGGATGAATGCCAGGGAACTGAAGCAAGTAGAGTTGTATTTGGTGTCAAGAAGTTGAAATGGCAGGTCAGATTTGGAAACCTATCATCCAACCGTCTTAGGGACCTCAGTTGTAATACTTGCATCCATTTAGTTAGTATTCCTTCTACTCTGCTAAATGCTTTACATGTGTAATTTTAATTAATCCTCACAGCCTTATGAGGTAAGTAGCATTCTAATTTTCCAGATGGGGATTGAAGTTCAGAGACTATTTTTCCCTGAGACCACACAGAAACTAAATACTAGATATTAGAGCTGGAATTTGAACCTAGACCTATCTGATTTCTACATTCCTGTATTTCACCACTAAGCTACATACTCCACTTACCAAGAAGTACAAAAAGGGCCTTTTCAGCCTAGCAACACATGTAATAAAGCTCATATGAGACTCTGCTTCTTGTCCCTCACCTGTCATCTGTGGTGCCTGGTAACATAGTTGGTAATAGTGGATACCTAATGAACATGTTGAATTGTGAAAATATATCAATTGAAAACAAAACTTTTTATTTGAATGGGTCATTTCTTTAAAAATATGTTTTTATTGACTTTTGGAGAGAGAGAAACATCAATGAGAGATAATCAATTGGCTGCCTCCTGAACACCCCCACTAGGGATTGAAACTTGGGCATGTGCCCTGATCGGGGATCAAACCAGCAACCTCTTGGTGTATGGGTTGATGTTCAACCACAGCCACACCAGTTGGACCAGAATGATGTTTTGGAAATAAAAACTAAATACTGATATATTTTCAATTTTCTTTATTTAAATAATATATTTACTGATACAGTCAACCATTTTGGGGGGCCCATGGTAGGTGCTCAATTAAAAATTAATGTGAGCCCGGTCAAGCCGGTGTGGCTCAGTGGTTGAGTGTCGACCCATGCACCAAGAGGCCGTTGGTTGGATTCTCGGTCTGGGTACATACCCAGGTTGTGGGCCTGGTCCCCAGTGAGGGACATGCAGAAGGCAGCTAATCGATGTTCTTTCATCGATGTCTCTCCCTCTGTCTCTTCCTTTCTCTAACATCAATAAATATATTTATAAAATATATATATATATATATTTTAAATTAATGTGAGTCCGGCCCAGCCTGTATGGCTCAATGGTTGAGCATCAAGCCATGCAACAAGAGGTTGCTGGTTCCATTCTCAGTCAGGGCACATGCCCAGGTTGTGGGCCAAAACTCCAGTTGGGAGCATGCAGGAGGCAGCCAATTGGTGTTCTCTCTCATCGATGTTTGTATCTCTCGCTCACTCTCCCTTTCTCTCTAAAAATCAATAAAGAAAAAATATTTAAAATAAATTTGAATTCAACTTACTATATTTCTATATCTGTGAACTCTTCCCCCTCTCTTTTCCTATTCCTGACCTTTATGTTTTAATCTTCCACCAATCTTCATTTCCTTTTACTGGTTATGGAAATGATGAATAACTCCAATCACTTGAAAAAATTCCCAAGAAAAATCAAGACCCTAGAATAACCAGTTTCCTCTTGTTGACTTAATAGAAGATGTGGATAAGAAAATGTTCATTTCTTTAGCTAAAAAACAAAACAAAATCCCTATTTACCATATAGTGATTGGTCTGATTAAAAGTTTTTAGAGTAATCAAAATTTGCCTAAAAACAGGTTTTTCTAGCAGTTTATAATTTAATTTACAAAAATAAAAATCTATGGCTTTCTAGTGTATACTTAAAAGTCTTACTAGTAAAAGAAATGACAGATAATTTCAGGAAACAACAGCTGTATATCCACCCTAACCTAGCAGCAAACTTTAAACAAATGAGCAGTTATTTAATGATTTAAGTGAGAGTTTTCTTCCAAATGAATCTGATTTTAACTTTATGTATCTATTGTATGATTTCTACAGCCTATACAATAGGCTTTACTACTGTGTTAACTTGACTACTTTAATGATCTCTATATCATCTCCCAAGTTTTATTTTTTAAGTTAAAATAGAAGAATGGGTAATGTCTATATATAATCATTTAGGTGGCCCCTTTTCATGGCCTTCTGTCAAACTCAAGGACACATTTACTTGGTAACATATGGAGAGAGTCTCACACTAAAACCTGATGATATTTAGCTATTTATAAAATTATATACTGGCAAGAGGCAAAATTGCAAGGATTCAGAATGTGTATTGGTAAATATAAATATTAAGTAAATGATAATAGCAACTTGTAAATTCATGCTTATTTTAAACAAATTTAGTACCACATTTATATGCACATGCTTACTTGACTTTAGCATTAAGAAGTTTAAATCCTATTTAAGTTGTTCCCTTACTATATTCAGGACAACTAAATCATTGAGATTTATTAGTGACAATTGTTCATTCTTTCTATCAAAATCCACCACAGGTCACTAGGGAGCAGGAAGCCATTACAATTTTTTAAAAAATCTTTTTTCTTTAGTGATTTTTAGAGCGAGAGGAAGGAAAGAGGGAGAGAAAGATGGAAACATCAATGAGAACATTGATTGACTGCCTCCTGCAGGCCCCCCACTGGGGATCAGGCCCAGAACCTGGGCATGTGCCCTACTGGGAATCGAACCACTGACTCTTGGTTCAAAGGTCAACACTCAACCACTGAGCCACAGTGGCCAGGCAGAAGCCATTATAATTTATCATTATTCATTTGCTAACAGAAAAAGATGGTTGTGAAGGTTATAACTCAGTGTTTGGCTCTGAATTGAATGCATCATTGTACTAATTGCCATTATAATAAGTAAGAAATCACAGGAAGCTAGGATCAAAGGATGACCAAAAAAAAAGTAAAGGACATGATTTCATTTCAGAGTCAGAATTATTAATTTGCCTAGCCAGTGTGGCTCTGTGGTTGAACATTGACCCATGCACCAAGAGGTTACCGGTTCGATTCCTGGTCAGGGCACATGCCCAGGTTGTGGGCCTGATCCCCAGTGGAGGGCATGCAGGAGGTGGCCAATCAATGTTCTCTCTCATAGATGTTTCTATCTCTCCCTCTCCCTCTCTCTCTCTCGCTCTCTCTCTCAAATCAATAAAGAAAAAAAATTTTTTTTAAAGAAATATTAATTTTATGTGAGAAAATGTCTGTAACTATACTTAACTATTTGAGAAAGGAATAAAGCCCCCAGTTAAACTTTATTTTATTTATTTTTAAATATGTCTTTATTGTTTTTTGTTGTTTTTTAGAGAGAAAGGGAGGGATAGATAGAAACATCTATTGGCTGCCTCCTGCATGCCCCCTACTGGGGACTGAGCCTGCAACCGGGGCATGTGCCCTGACCAGTAATTGAACCAGGACCTCTCAGTTCTTGGGATTGACACTCAATCCACTGAGCCACACCAGTTGCCCCCCCCCCCCCCCAGTTAAACTTTAAAAAGTTACTATGTTGTTTTTCTACTTAAAGCAATTGCTTATGGTCAGTCAGAATCAGCAAAGTTCACTTTTAGATGAGAGAAATAATTCTAAACAGATTATGAAAGTCATCTTTTCTTTCAAATGTGGAAGGAAAGTATTTTAAGAAATACTCTTTTTTAAAAAATTAAGGTAAAGTGTTTCTGCAAAAATATAATTATACCCAGAATCACTGGGGCAGGTTAGAGGAACTGTGAATTTAGAATTTGAAGGAAAACTCCGTGTGTGTGTCTGTGTATTTATTTTCATTTGCAGAATGTATACAATACTTAATATTTGAAGAAAACAATGATAACTTGATGTTTCTCTCTTAAATTTGTTAGATATATGTTTCAACCAGATTTGCCATTAATGAGTTAAAGTACGTTGTAAAAATTCTTTGAAGGAAAACACTTAACTGCTTCCTTCCTCCCTACTTTCATCTCCCTGGCTGACGTGTCTTTTTAATGTTACATATTTATGTGTCCTAACCATTCTAGCTTAGATCATGCAAGGGGAAAAAGTGTTCCAGTAGTTAAAGAATTATTTGCGTAATAGGAACACCTTATATTTGAAGGATGTAATGAATTACATTGGGGAAGATATTAAATAAATTCAAGGTCTAGGAACTATGCTTTTGTTTCCATTCTTTGTTCTATTAATAGTGTGCTGACCTGATGACAAAAGCCATGAGATTCTGACCTAAAACATATATCTTGCAGAGCAGTCAACTTGTAATATTATTTTTCTTGAGTTTTGTCTTTTTCTGTGTGGCAGTGGTGAAATAGGGCCTTCTATACCTCTGGAGAAGTGAGATCTGAATTTGGAGAGGACATGGGGAAGAATCAATCTTCAACAGATAATCTTTAAGTCCAGACCCAGGAATATCAGATCTGAAGTGACACCATCTTTTCTGTCTTCCTGACAAACCTCATCAGCCCCCAAAGTTCCAGTTGCAAGCATCCAAGAAAACTCAGTAAAGATCACTTTGAAATCACTTGTGACAAAACTGATTTATGATGACTCTCCTAGTATTTGTGGAAAATCTGCTGAAGAAAAGTAGAATATTCATAAGACATCAGTGGGTCAAGTTACAATAAAATGAAACTATATGCTAATTATCTTCAAGAGTCCCTTCTAAAAGGCTTGCTAGGCTACTGTAAATATATTATAAATAGAAATAGCTGTGTAAACGTAACTGTGTAAACAATTCTAAATTTAAAATAATCTGAATCAAAGTTTACATATTATGAAATGCTTACACAGTTTAAAAAATACATCAAAATCTATAGAGTATAAATAAAAGTAAGTGCAGAGAAAAACAGCAAGACCAATATTTTAACAAGAAAAGATAATCTAGTTATTACTCACTATAATGTAACATTTGCCCTTCTTTTATACTGTATATGTTACAAACTTGATCATTAATATTAATGAAGCTAAGTCTGTTAACTTGAAGGAAAAACAGAAGTGGTATTACTTCTTCAATAGTGGTAGATTTTCACAAATCACAGACACCTAAAAAGACTATATCTTAAGACACATTATTTTCTTTTGAACTTAGCAGTATAACCTAATAGGACAGAGTGAGTTTCTGTTAAACATTTGTTCTCAGTATTAATGTTTCTCAGTTTTCAAGTTTCGAGATAAAATTTAACTAAGTATTGAATAAAACAATGGTTAACATCTTTTATAGATCTTTCATGGGGAAATAAAATGTTGGTGAAATTTTAGCCTGGCTACAAATACTGTGTGTGTGTGTGTGTGTGTGTGTGTGTATATATAAATAAATATATAAATATTCATACACACATATCTAGCCATATTTCCTTATTGCTAATATACTTGTAGTTTTACTTTGGTTAACTGTGTACCCAATTCATTATTATTATTGCTATTATTTTATTGTGCAATATTAAGATGTCATATATTTTCAGAAATGTTTATTATGTTATGCTGATTCAAATATTTTAATGAGCTGCAAAAAGAGATCTAACTTAGAATATACATAATATTATGTGCAGAAGTAAAGTAATTTAAACTCGAGCTATAAAATAGGATAACTTGAATATTCATTCTAATAAGTAGATTAACAAAAAAGAAAAATCAGAGAAAGTTAATTACAATGTGATAGTGGGTACAGAAGCAAGAAAGGAGAAGTGACATCCACTAAAGATTTCAAATTTATATGAATTCAACTACCTTAATATAAAACAAATAAGTTTAGAAAAGTGTTAGTTTCTGAAAAAACAAAACTAGAGTTAATGTCTTTTGAGAGCATGAGGAAGCCTATAGAAATACAGGCTTCTAACAAATGGGAAACAGAAAAGATAAAATATATTATCAATAATTAAAGGTAGCAGATAAATATAGTAGAAACTCAATAATTTTTAAGTGACTGGTGGAATTAGATTCACCAAAGAAATATGGCTTAATTTGACTACTAAAAGACAAATATAATGACTAATAAGTGATATAAATGCATGCTATAATGTGATTATTTTCTGTGTATTAGTATAAAATGGAGTTTACTGGGTTACTTAGAGAATTTTTTTTACATCTTTAATCTATTGATTTTACCTAATAAAATTTCCTCCTCTATGTTCAGAAGTTAAACTGTCTGTATATTACTTTTATTTATACTGTACTTTTCAACCTGGCTCTTTAACAAAATATTTTGTCTGAAAAGTTATCAATTTCTTTCATTCTCTAATACTAAATAAAGTATCTGATATAGTTAATTATGGTCGTCCTTAGAAGTTTCAGAAGTACACAAAGAAAGTTAACTAAAATTATTATTGCCAAATCCTGTTTTCTTTAAATATACAACTGGAAAAGTACTATTTTGTGGCAAACACAGACATCAACAAATTAATTAGGTTTCTTTATAATATACAAAGATAATTATTTATAAAAATCCACTGACATACTATTTAACTCTTTCAGAGGGTTGGTTAATTTGTTTCTCAAAATAGCAAACATGATTTATTCATAGAAATAACTTCCTAACCAGTATAACTCATTTTGTTTATTTTCAGTTAAAGGGCTTACTAATTGAGTCTGACTCTTCATGTATATAAAATAAGAACTTCACTTCTTTCATATTATTTCAGTCTGTTACACAAGAGTCCATCCTCCAAGTTAGCACTCTACAAAACTGAAGTAGGTACAACTTGTCTGCTGTGGTCACAGATTTACTTCTCTTCTGGAAAACCCTCCTTCCAGGGTTGGGCCTGATAGCCTTCCATGCCAGGCATGGTAGTGTCTCATCCCAGGCTACTGTATCTATAGTTTAATTGTAGCTTTTTTTTAAATCCTCACCCGAGGACATTTTTGGATATTTTGTTCAGATAGAGTGGGAGGGAGAGAGAGAAACATCGACTTGAAAGGGACAGAAAGGGACACATCGAGTGGTCGCCACCCACATGACCCAACCAGGGCCGAGGTACGTGCCCCTAGCGGGGGCCGAACCCGGGTCTCTCCAGACCACAGGCCGACACTCTAACTGCTGAGCCAAACTGGCCAGGGCTAATTGTAACTTTTTTTTTTTTTTTTTTTTTTTTTTTTTTTTAATCCTCACACGAGGACATTTTTTCCATTTTTTGTACAGACAGAGTGGGAGGGAGAGAGAGAAAGAGAGAGAGAGGGAAACATCGATGTGAAAGGGACACATCGTGTGGCTGCCACCCGCACGACCAACCAGGGCCGGGGACAAACTGCAACCTAGGTACGTGCCCCTAGCGGGGGCCGAACCCGGGTCTCTCCAGACCACAGGCCGACACTCTAACTGCTGAGCCAAACTGGCCAGGGCTAATTGTAACTTTTAAAGATAGTTTTCCAAGACTCAAAGAAGCAAATGGTGAAATTTTTCCTATATTGACAGGTGATTGGATAAATATTTTGGGACAGGATACTTACAAAGAATTATAAAATGGCAGTATTTACAGAAGTCTTAAATATAATAACTAGTTTTACTTCAGTTTGCTCATAGGTCCTCAAATTATAGGCTGTTATTTACTCCACCTTCTCTTCAGCCCAACATTACCTCCTAAAAACAATCCACAAACTTTATGAAGTCTGTACCTGAAAACAATTATGTATCCATAATTGTTTTTCCTAGTTATTTGGGAAAAAATTTATTCTTGCTCAGTCAGTCTTCTTAGGGCTGACATGACTCTCCATGCACATAGTTTTAGACCTTATTTCATTCCTCTTTGTATCTATAATACAGGTATTTTCAGATATGAATTTGTTTCAACTTTTGATATTTGCAGTTTTAGTACAGAAATATAAGAGGTAAGCAGAAAGTCTTCCTCTTATACAGAAAAAAATTTTTAGTTTTTTGGTTAAATAATGTGTTTCAGGTCACTTTTAATAAATATTGAGCTAGTGAATCACTACTATGTTCCAGGTAGTCTTCTGGGTGTGGGGGATTAATTAGAGAAGTTTTGCCATATGTTAAAGCTCTTGGTTTTTCCAGATTGTGTGGAACCTCAGTATTTGGATTTTGAAAATATTTTGAAACATCTAGTATTTATAATCTGCCAAACATTTCATTTGTTGAAAATCAGTAGTAATTTCTATGTAAGTAGTAGAATTAGCAAACTTTGTTTCAAGTGAATGTTAACAGTCAAGTTTTAAAAATGAATTGCAAAAATATAATGACATTTAGAAAAATTACTGATAATCCTACCATATAGAGATAACCAATTTTGATACATTTTTCACATACATAAGATTATCCTACATATGGGCTAAAAAGTTACAAAAGTCATGTATCTTATTTTCCACTTAATGATATCAAGAACATTTTTTTCTCATTAAAATTTTTATAAACAGTCTAGCCAGTGTGGCTTAGTTGTTGAGGGTCAACCCATGCACCAAAAGGTCGCCAGTTCAATTCCTGGTCAGGGCACATGCCCATGTTGTAGTCCCAATCCCTAGTGGGGGGCATGCAGGAGGCAGCCAATCGATGTTCTCTCTCATCGATGTTTCTCTCTCTCCCTCTTTTCTTCTCCCTCTCTAAAATCAATAAAAGGGGAAAAAAGGAAAATTTTAAATTCATGTAAACAATTTTTATGGCTACATAATAATTCATCATATGGATGTACTATCATTGATGTAATAATTTTCTTATTGTCATGTATTTAAGCCATTTCCTTTTTTTTTTTTTATCCTCACCCGAGGACATTTTTCCATTTTTTGTTCAGATAGAGTGGGAGGGAGGGAGGGAGGGAGAGAGAGAGAGAGAGAGAGAGAGAGAGAGAGAGAGAGAAACATCGATGTGAAGGGACACATCAAGTGGCTGCCACCTGCATGACCAACCAGGGCCAGGGACAAACTGCAACCGAGGTACACGCCCTTAGCGGGAACCGAACCCAGGCCTCTCTGTACCGCAGGCCGACGCTCCAACCGCTGAGCCAAACCGGCCAGGGCAGCCATTTTCCTTTTTAATGTTATCATAAATAATACTACCTGCATGTTCTATCATTTTCCTTAGGATGAATCCCACAGGGTAATGCTAAATGAAGGGTATGATCGCATTTAGGGTAAAGAAAAAATATTATCACATTGCCTTCCAGAAAGATTGTACTAATTTACATTTCCACTAGTAGAGTTTACCTGTTTTGCTGCACAGTTGCTGGCTTTGATGAATATTATTTGCTCATATATTTGCTAATCTGATTATTTTAATGGTCTATATTTTTTTTTTAGAATTTTTTTTTTATCTTCACTCAAGGACATTTGTGCATCTATCTTCAGATAGAGTGGGAGGGAGAGAGGGGGGATGAGAGTAAGAAACATGGATGTGAGAGAGACACATAGATTAATTGGTCACCACCCACACGACCCCAACCAGGCAGGGGACAAACTGCAACTGATGTCTTGCCCCCAGCGGAACTGAACCCATGAGCTCTAACTACAGAGCCAAACCGGCTAGGGCTAATGGGCTATATTCTGAGCCACAGTTATCAAAAAGAACAAGATTTCTTTAAAAAAAAAAAAAAAAATGAATACAGATAAGGAACAATGCAAAAATTCCAAAAATGCTGAGTGTATGATAATGTTCTAGGACTATAAAAGTTTATTTTATATAAGGTCAAAAGGCAAATACTGTGTCTTTTTGCTCAGGATGCCATCTAAAGTATGAAACATCAATTTACTAGGTGAAAGGTTAGAGCAGAAAAAAGATATATAGCTAATGAAAATGCAGATAAATTGCTACTGTGGTTTTAGAAAGCTGTGTTAAAGATGAATGTGGTAGTTAGATTGCAAGAGTTGTTTGTAATAACTGTACATAGAGATAGTACATAGTTACTAAGAACCTCTCCTGTCTGAAGTTCTAATTTTAGTGTTTGTGTATAAGAACTGGCATGTTTGCTTTTTGCTATCTTGCTTTGCTTGAGGTAAATGTGTGAGGACTGTCTCAATACAAGAGATCTGAAGAGCTTGTGTTTCTTACAGTTCTTTCTGCTTTTAGTTGTAACTGGGACCCTGTCTCTAAATCATATCATATTATCAGTTCTACAAAGAATTTGGATTGCTCTCCAGCCCTCTAATCCTCCCTCCCACCTTTTAATTAATTAATTAATTAATTAATTAATTAATTAATTTTTGGTAACTGTTTAATTGTCCCCCCCTTTTAAATTACATAAAAGACAACAATTTCCAAGAATAAAATCAAGAGATATGTACTCACAATTTAAGGCAGCTTTAATAGAAAACTTGGTTT